TGGGGGACATAATGGCTGCAAGACCTTTGCATGGGTCTGAAGGGACAAGGTCATGGCTAAGAGATGCAGGGAAGGTTTTCACTACATGGCGACCGTGCTCCAGTCACACAGTCGGGTAGTTGACGGGGTGGGGGCATGCAATGCAAGGCCAAGAGGCATGGTACGTATACAGGGGAGGTGCCGCATCGACAAAAAATTCATTGTGAGGACAGTCAAGCATTGAAACGGGCACCCGGGAAGACCGCAGGGTTTCCGGAGGTTTTTGAGGTCTGGTTCAAGCCCTGGGCAACCTGATCTGGAGTCATTGCTGACCCTGCTCCTCCTGAGAGGGCTACAAGTAGAGTCCTCCCAGATCCTCTTCAACCTGAATGGTCCCCAGGTGCTTCTACAGCATTGGGATTTTGTAGACTGGTCTCATATCTTCCCCAGAGCATCCCTCCTGGCCCCAAGCTGTGGTTCCTGAGCCATAAGCGTGTCTGTGCTGCTGCCCTTCTTGGCCGCGGTTGCCATCGGTTAGCCATTTCCAAAGGTCGCTTGCTGCTCGCCTTCCCCAGCTCGGTGCTGGCCTGCAGCCATTCCCACCATTCTTGGTCCTGGAGCCCTCTTCGCTTGTGCCTGTTCTCTCCTTCCCAAGGAGCCTGGAAGGAAAAGAGGAAACTCCAGTCTTGTTGGTTCCTAATGGGAACTCTGCTCTGGATGCTGCTTGCAGATAGCAGCAGGAGTGGGCAAGTCTGTGCAGTGCAATTGCTTGCGCGGGTGATTACACCCTCAGTAATGCCTGCTACAGCGGGTCTGAGTCTAACACCATCCAAATCCACACCCAGCATGCTTACGTCTCATGGGGGCCATAGTCCACCCAGCAAGATGGAAGGAAACATCACTGCTTCCTCCTGTCCATGCTCTGTGTCACCTGAAAGCACATCTTCCAAACTCGGAACCCCTTCGCCATCTCCTAGCTGCTGGCTCAAGTATTTCTTTGGTGATTGCCAGACCTGGAACCACTCAAATACTCGGGGAATGATCAGCTCTGTCCCCTCCACCAGGCTGAGCGAGGCTGGGCAACAGATGTGTCCCTTTGGGCACATCCAGATGTGACAGACTCATCCTCACTACTTTCGTCTTCTTATTTCCTCCCCCACGTTAAATTCAGGTTGCCCCACTTCTTCCGTTTCAGCTGAGGCTTTTTACATGGCAGCACTTTGTTTCTTTTAGCACCTTACTCACTTCTGCCTCCTAAAAATCCATGCCCCCAGGCTGGTCTGGGCTGCAGGAGCTTTGGCTTTGCAGGCACCTCTTGTTCTGATAAGCATCCAGCATAGTCCTCCAGCAAGGAGAAGGGTGATGGCCATGAGCTTGGTGCCCCAGCAGTGGGTGGACTGGGCTGCAGGGAGCTGGGGGTCTTCTCTGTTGGCTCCTGGGTGCTCTGGGTGAAAGCACCGGCACAAGTTGAGCTTACAGTGTTAGACATGCCCTCCCTGCGCTTCCCAAGCTGGGCTTGGGATTAGCATTCCTGGGTTCAACCATCCCAAACTCACCCCCCAAACTGGGAGATCGCTGGCCACAGCCAGATTTGGACCTGTTTCCCTTTTCCTGGCGGTGTTTCCAAGCGCTCTTCCAAGCTCGTGGTAGAGGTGACCCTTCTGCGGTTACAGGGACTCTGGGAGCTGGGGCTTTAGAGGAGTGAAGTAGTGGGGAACTGGGTAATGCAGGAGACATGCAGCCCCATGTGCCGAAATGATGGGGAGCCCTTGGTCCACACTGGGACCCTGGCTCTGCCTGGGGCAGGAGAGGGGCCAGGGCTGGTGCTGGCACTGTCCCCATC